TGGGTGTCTGTCTTAGATGTGCTTTGATATCCTATGGCAGTAAACAAAGTACCAACTAGTAAGATTTAGATGGCAAAATCTGTAGGTGACAGGTAAGGAAACCAGAAGCAGCTGTAAGAGCTTCAGATTCAGAAAAGACTCAGCGTTACCATGAAATATCAACTGGACTTGAATATGTGGGTAATACAGATGAGCAAATTCTCGGCAGAGTGAGTTAGCATGAACAAAGGTTGGAGGTTGAAATGAACTTGCCTGATGGCCATAAAGGATCTTGCAAAATATAAATGTCTACCTTAAAGTCACAGATGATGTGAGTTTCCCCTTGTACCAGTTGGAGGATCATTAGCTGACTGTGCCCTTCCCAAGGGGCAGGAGGACGTTGCCGAGGACTATCCCTATGGGGGCTCCCTGATTTATAAATGAGTTCTATTCCAAAACTCCACTTGTACATGGTATGCTTTAATTTTGAAATTGTGCTTATTTAAAAATTAATGTAACAAAGACAAGCAGTTCATTAATAGTTTTATCATAAATACTTCAAACACCACAAACAAAGCTAAAATTTCCATCCACCTTCACCTGGAAACCCATCTCTTTCTAAGAGAACCACTGTTACCAGCTGCTTGGCTGGGTTCTCCGCCAAGTGCATGGGTCAGATTTGACCTGAATGGTCTTCCAGGATTATGCTGAAAACACCTATATGAGTCCTTGACGTAGAGAGCTGCAGTACAGGCCAGAAAGGTACATTCTGTGGTTCTGGTGCTGTACAGCTTTGTGCACAGTTGCAAATTAGCCAGTGGCAGTATTGAGTTTACCTCCCTTTGGATAAACCATTCTGTCTCCCTGTCTTTGCAGTCCCACACTACCCTGAGATTCCTCTCTGAATTGGGCCCATGTGCCGCCAGCTTTGAATGTCCCCTTCACTGTCATTTCTTCTAAACTCACTTTCTTTACTCAGTAAAACTTACATAATTTAGGATGGAAGCAACTGACTAAACAATTGACACTTGGGTAAAACTTTGTAAAAAATCTCTGCCGTTTTTTCCATGGCCTCCAAATCCTCAGTTCCTGGCTATAGGCATAGGTGCTAACAAATACAGGTTGATCTGAATGTAAATATTTAGACATACTTGTATTTTTACACAAAGAATGCTTATTAGGACAAATGTCTTTTCAACAGGGAACTTTGCAGCAGTTTAAGCTACAAAATATTTCAGGGAGTGGGAGTAGGGCATTTGCTGATGGGCAGGAAAGTGGACACAGGCAGTCTTGGATGGGAGCCAGCTCCCCACAGCAACTCCTATTCACTCATGGATTCTCTCTGTCCTCCACTTCTGAATTGAAAAAAAACCTCTTTTTTAATGTGCCAGGTTTATTTTAAGTGGGGTTATGGTGGGTTAGAGTAGTGATGGGGTGGGGTGTCTAGACATTTGGGGACTGAGGATGGAGGAAGCCCTGGGGAGACCCCTTCTCCTTACAGGTCTTGTATCAGAGATTGTCTGTTTCACTGGAACTCTAATCTGTTTTAAAGCAGAGTTGTGGGAATACTTGAAAGGCCAGAGATGCTTAATGCAGCCATTTAGCAGATACCTGGTTTGCTCCATGCTCTTTTTTCACCCAGCTAGGTGCATTTTCCCCTTCCTCATGCCAAACAAGCACTTGGCTTATTTACTTGTATGATCTTTGGCTCCTGCTAGGCCAGGGGATTCTCCCTTCTGTTAGAGAGCAGGCTCAGGGGGAGCCTTCAGATGAAGGCAGTTTGATGCTGATGTTGACCTGGACCTCCTGTGCCAGGGTAAGTGGGAGAAGATTTGCGGCACTCAGGACACAGTTGTGGAGGTCTTTGAGCACATCAGCTTGATGACCCTGGACATACTCATGAGATGTGCCTTCAGCCAGGATACCAACTGCCAGATAAACAGGTCAGTGACAGGAGAGCAAAAAAGACACTTGCCTGCCATTACCTAAGTCATTTGTCGACATATTATCTCCACTTTCTCTTCTAGCACCCAAGATCTTTATGTAAAAGCAGTATTTGAAGCCAGCAACATCATCTTGTACCCTTTGTACAGTTTCTTACATCACCATGACATAATTTTCAAATACAGCCCTGAGGGCCAGCGCTTACAGGAATTAAGCAAAATGCTGCATCAGTACACAGGTATGTCTTAGGTTTGGGTGGCCCAGGTCCTTAGTTGACTGATGTCTGTCTAGAGGGCTAGGCCTTAATGTAAAAACGTAACTCTTGTTCTTATTGGAGTTTTTATTTGGATGCTGCACAAATGAAATACAGGTCCTTTAGAAGAGTTTGCTGCCTTCATAGCAGTAGTCTTATCAGAAGTTTTCTATATATTATACAATTTTTCCATTTATTCATATAAAATTTTTTTATATAGTCTTAAATTTTTTTCTATTTTTATATTGAGGTACATACTATAAAATGCACAAATCAGCATACAGCTTGATGAATTTTGACATGTGTATACACTCATGTAACCTTTTTTTGTTATGTACAGTTTTTGTTAATACAAATATAACATACCATGGGCATGTTATATTTCAAACACACATGGCTTTGGCTTTTTGCAGAGCTTTTAGTAATAATGACAAGCTAAAAACATTCATTCAACATAGGAATGAATAGGGAACTGCATAAAAAGGGACGGACATTCAAAAGAAGGGGGAAATGGGGAGTTCAATGAATACAATGTTTTGGTTTTGCAAGATGAGTAAGTTCTAGATATCTGCTGTAAAAAATAGTGCCTGTAATTAACAATAGTGTATTGTGCACTTAAAATTTTGTTAAGTGGGTAGATCTCAGGTTAAGTGTTCTTACCACAATAAAAAATTAAAAGGAGTTTGGTTCAAAAATAGCTTGAGCAAAACAAACATAAAAGTTGAAATAGTTGAAGCTTTTTAAGCAATTAAACATTACTTGTCATGAACTTCACGAGAGAATATTTATCAAGCAGTTAATTAACCCTTCTTCAGTTCCACCTCTTCCTGGTAGAGTAACCTTGGGCATGTTTTGTCTGTCTGTCATCTGTGAAGTGGGGATAAGAAAGAACCTATCCCATAGGTGTGGTGATGGTTAAATATGTTACTATATGTAAAACACTTGTAAAGGACTGTGCCTAGCCCTGAATAAATGTGAACAATAAAATATAGTTACTATATCAAATATATGTGCCCGCAGCACACTTGCAAGACACACCTCCATGTGCACACACACACGAATGTAGATATTGTAAAGAAAGACCCTCAGAGAAGCAGGCTAGAAACTATTTAAGACAGAAGTGGGCATGATAGATAGCAGTAGTTCTCAAACCTGTTCATAACATGAAAATGTTCATCACCCAGAAAATGTTCATGAATATTTGTATGACTCATTGGAGTGAACAGAAAGGCATCTACATAGGACTTGTGAAAGAATGCTTTACCATTTCTTTGTATTACATAATTATGATGAAGAAAGGAATTCAAAGTATCTGGGAGAAGATTTAATGTTAAATTTGTTAAAAATAAAACCTTTTCAAAAGTTTTTCTTTTTATTTAGTAAAATTTATCAATATTTTCTTTCATTGCATCTGGATTTTGAGTAATAGTCAAAAGCCTTCCCCTGTTCCAGAGTATCTCAACCACGGCACCAATGACATTTTGGGCTAGATAATTCTTGGTTGGGGGGATTTGTCCTGTGCAGTGTAGAATGTTTAGCTGAATCCTGAACATCTTTCGACTTGATACCAGTAGAATCTGACAGTTAGAGCAAAATATATCCCTAGATATTGAAGAACACTGCTGAACACCTTCCGGGTGCCAAAATTGTCCCCAGCTGAGAACCACTGCCAGATGTACCCAGAATTTAGAGAGATTCATCATGGTTTCTTCTAATGCTTGTATGGTTTTTGTTCTTTTTGCATTTAGCTCTCTGACCCATTTAGAGTTTATTCTGATGTATGGTGTGAGGTGTTGATCTAATTTTTTCAAATGGTTATCCAGTTATCACGTCACCATTTATTAAATAGTCCTATCTTTTCCAGTGATTTGAGATAACCACCTTTATCATATTCTAAACTGACATATACATTTGCACCTATTTCTGGATGGTCTTTTCTAGTCCATTGGTCTGTCTATCCATGTGCTAGAATAATGCTGATTTATTTAAAAAGAATTTATAATATATTTCTTAAATTAATAAACTATTTCTTAGAGAGTTTTAGGGTTTACAGAAAAATTGAGCATATTTCATCACCCCCCACCACAGTTTCCTCTACTATTAACATCTTGCATTAATGTGGTGTATTTGTTACAATTGATGAGCCAATACTGACATATTACTAACTAAAATCCATAGTTGAGGCTCATTCTATGTTGTACATACACTCTATGGCTTTTGACAAATTTATAATGATATGTATCCACTATGACAATGTCATACAGAATAGTTTCCCTGCCCCCAAAACTCCCCTCTGCTCACCTACTTATCCTTCCCTCCCTCCCTCACCCTGAACCCCTGGCAACAACTAATTGTTTTTAATGTCTCTACTACCTTTTCCATGTCATTAGTTGGAAACCTACTGTATGTAACTTTTAAAGGTTGGTTTCTTTCACTTAACAATATGCATTTAAAGTTCCTCCATGTATTTTCATGGCTTGATAGCTCATTTATTTTTGTTGCTAAATAACATTCTGTCATCTGGATGCACCAGTTTGCTTGCCCATTCAGTTCCTGAAGGGTATCTTGATTGCTCCCAAGTTTTGGCAGTTTTGAATAAAGCTGCTATAAACATTTGTGTGTGGGTTTTTATATGGGCATAAGTTTTTGACTCCTTTGGGTAAATACTGAAGAGCATGATTGCTGGATGGTATGATAAGAATATGTTTCATTTTGTAAGAATCCACCAAATTGTCTTCCAAAGTAGCTGTACCATTTTGCATTCCCACGAGAAGCGAATGAGAGTTCTTATTATTCCACATCCTTGTCAGGATTTGATGTTGTCAGTGCTCTGGGCTTTTGCCATCCTAATAAATTTGTAATGATATCTCATTGTTCTAATTTGCATTTCTCCAATGGCATATGATGTGGAGCATCTTTTCATATGTACGTTTGCTAACTGCGTATCTCCATTGGAGAGGAGTATGTTAGTCTTTGGCCCATTTTTTAATCAGGTTGTGTTTTTTTTTTTCTTCTTGAATTTTAAGAGTTCTTTGTATGTTTTGGACATATTAAGCAGGCCCTATAAGTTAAGCATTAAGTCCTGATATAACAGTCCTTCATCAGAATTGTCTTTTGCAAATAGTATCTCCCATTATGTGCCTTGTCTTTTTATTTTCTTAACTTCATCTTTGGCTGAACAGTTTTTAATTTTAAGGAAATCCAGCTTATCAATTTTTTTCTCTCCTGGATCATGCTTTTGGTGTTCTAGCTAAAAAGTCAATGTCAAACCCAGAGTCACGTAGATTTTCTCCCATATTATTTTTTAGGAGTTTTATGGTTTAACATTTTACACTTAGGTCTATGGTCCATTTTAAGTTATTCTTGGTGAAAGGTGTAAGATCTATGCCTAGATTCTTTTTTTGCATGTGGATGTACAATTGTTCCACCATCATTTGTTGAAAAGACTATCCTTTCTCCATTCAATTGCCTTTGCTCTTTTGTCAGAGATCAGTTTGGCTGCATTTGAGTGGGTCTACGTTGGAGCTTCCTATCTTTTTCCATTAATCTATTTGTCTCTTTTTTCACCAATCCCAGACTATCTTGATTATTGTCGTTTCTGAGTAAGTCTTGAAGTCAGGTAGTGTCAGTCCTCTGACTTTATTGTGTCCTTTAGTACTGTGTGGCTATTCTGGTCTTCCAGTCTTTCCACATAAACTTTAAATTAGTTTGCTGATACCACAAAATGACTCCGGTTTTTTTTATTGTGATTGCATTGAATCTATAGATGAACTTAGGAAGAACACAATATTTATTCCTATTTGTGTACATGGAATATCTCTCAATTTATTTAAAAATTTTGTTATTTCTTTCATCAGAGTTTTGTAGTTTTCTTCATATAGGTCTTATACTATTTTGTTATATTTATACCTAAGTGCTTCATTTATTTGGTGCTGATTAAATGGTATTGTGTCTTTAATTTCAAATTATAGTCTTACCTCCTACATTTGGGTCTCTGATCCATTTTGAGTTAATTTTTCTATATGGTATTAGGTAAGAGTCTAACTTAATTCTTTTACATGTGGATGTCCAGTTTTCCCAACACCATTTGTTGAAAAGACTGTACTTTCCCCATTGAATGGTCATGATACTCTTGACTGTTACATGAGTATTTATTTCTGGGCTTTCTGTTCTATTCATATATTTATTCATATATGGTATAGGTCTGTCTCTATGCCAATACCACACTGTTTTGATTACTGTAACTTTGTTGTAAGTTTTTGAAATCAGGAAGTGTGAATCCTCCAGTTTTGTTCTGGGCTATTTGAGATCTGTTAATCTTTTAAAGATTGTTTTGGTTATTTGGGATCCCCAGGGATTCCATGTGAATTTTCAGACAGATTTTTCTATTTCTTATTAATATATGTTTTTAAGATTATGAATTTGTCTTTGTTCACTAACTATATCCGATTTTGATAAATAATGTTTTCATTGTCATAACTTTTTCAGACATTCTGTAATTTCTGTCTGTATTTCCCTTGCACCCAAAGGGTGTTTAATAGACAGTTTGTAATTTATGGGTGGAATGTCTTTCATTTTTTGATTTTTAAAAATTTCTAGTCTTATTGTATTATAATTAGAGAGTATTGCTTGTAATATTTCTGATTTATGAAATCTAATAATATTTTTTTGATTTAATATAGGATCAAATTTTGTAAATAGTCCATGCATTCTTGAGAAGAAAATATATTTTCTATTATTAGGTATGGTGCTTGATATTTCTGTGCATATGTTCTGCCTTAGTATTTTGCTTAGATCTTCTATATATTATTTTTGCCCACTTGACCTGCCCTGTGCTGAGGGTGGTATGTTAAAGACTACTATTACTAGTGCAGTTCTGCCTATTTTTACTTGCATCTCTTATAGTTTCTGCTTTAAATGGGTACTTCTGTGTTATTTGGTTTGTGTGTTTTCGTAACTGTTACATCTTGTGACAACATGACTCTTAGGTTTAATGAGTTTTTTGCTCAAATTCTACTTTGTCTGCTCTCAGTTACAATCCCTACTTTCCTCTCATTTCCATGTGTCTAGTATATTTTCCACCGCTTTATTTTTAGCCATTTTGAATTACTTTGTTTCATATATTTTTCTTATATGCAGTACATTGCTGGGTTTTGCTTCATGAGCCAATTTGAAAATCTTTTTATATTAGTAAACAAGCCATTCCCATTCTTATCTATTGAAATGACTGTTAAATTTGGTTTCAACACTGTCATACTATTATGTTTTACTATGTGTACTAAGTTATAATTACTGTATGTATTAGTTTCCTAAGTCCATTATAATAAACAACCACAGACTGGGTGACTCGAAACAACAGAAATTTATTCTCTCACAGTTGTGGAGGCTACAAGTCCAAAGTCAAGGTGTTGGCCGGCCCATGATGCCTCTGGAAGGCCCTAGGGAAGAATCCTTCCTTGCCTCTTGCTGCCTTCCGGTGGTCGCCAGCCATCCTCAGCAATCCTTGGCTCGCAGCTGTGTCACTCTAACTCTTGCCTCCATCTTCACGTGGTCATCTTCTTTCTATGTGTCTATTGTGGTCCATTCAGGTTGCTCTAATGGAATACCATAGACTTTGTGGCTTATAAACAGCAGACATTATTTCTCACAGTTTGGAGGCTGGGAAGATCCACTTACAAGTAGATTCAGTGTTTGATGAGGGCCTGTTTCCAGTGCACAGAAGGCTGTCTTCCCACTGTGTGCTCACGTGGCAGAAGGGGTGAAGGAGCTCCCTAGGGTCCCCTAAAGGCACTAATCCCATTCATGAAGGCTGCATCCTCATGACCTAGTCACCTGCCAAAGACTCCACCTCCAAATACCATTACATTTGATATTAGATTTCATATAGGAATTTTGCAGGTACCCAAGCATTCAGTCTATGGCTGTGTCTGTCCAAAATTTCCCTCTTCTTATAAGGATACTAGTCTTTGAATCAGAACCACCCTAATCCAGTATGACATTTTCTTAACTTGATTACATGTGTAAAGACTCTATTTCTAAATAAAGCTACATTCACCAGTTCTAGGTGGACTTGGATTTTGGGGAGACATTATTCAACCCAGTACACTATTTATTTCTCTATGTGGTATGTCTTCTTTGCTCCTTTTAAATGCAATATCTTTTGCTTTTTAAGAAGGTTTATATTTTTGTTCTATGGCTCCCACAGAAATTAGTCCTTTCACAGATCCTTAATCTGCCTTTCCCTTATTTAAATCTTTGTTATCTGGTTTGTCATTATTTTTCACTGTGGTTGACTATATGTTATCTAACATTTACCATTGTAGTCTTTTTAAAGTGTACAGTTCAGTGCTATTAAGTACATTCACATTGTTGTGCATCCATCACCACCAACAAATCTCCAGAACTTTTCTCACCTTGCAGAACTGAAACCTCATCCACGTTAAACAATAACTCTTCATTCCCCTCCCCTCCAGCCCCTAGCAACTACCATCCTATTTTCTGTCTCTGTGAATTTGACTAAGTACTCTAGGTATGTCATATATGTGGAATCATACCATTTTTGTCCTTTGCGACTGGTTATTTGATAGTTTGTCAGTTTTTAGTAATATCCTTTGATTTTCATTTATTGCCTATGTAAGAATTAGTGATCTTATTCTACTTTCCTTTCTGCTTCCCTCCTCCTCCTATTTTTAGTAGAATGTTTTTACCTTTAATGCTTATGTACTATTCTTTTGCCCATGTCCTTATCCTAACTTTATTTTAAACTGAGATATCAATTAAATCTATGAAATGCCCACCTCAGCTCCTACTATCGATTCCTCAGGATGGGCTCATGAGCACAGTATTTTCTGAATTCATGCAAATTTACAACTGCTGTTGGTAGACTCGATACTTGAAAGACAATTTTGCTAAATATAAACTACTTTTCTCACACTTTGTTTACTTGAGTTTCTTAAAAATGCTCTAACCTTGCCTTGATTTATTTACTGTTCTTGAGAAGTATGATGCTAGTCTAGTTTTCTTACCCTTTAAAGTCATTTGCTCTTTCTGTCTAGCATCTCAAGGATTTTATTTTCTGTCTTTAATGTCAAACACTCCTACTAGGATATATATTGGGATTGGTTATTCTGTTCCAGTTTTTTCCAGGCATAGGGTAGTGTGGAATAAATGGAAGTTTTCAACTGGCCTTGATAGTGATATGCATATAAGGGCCTGTTTGCACATATAACACAACAGTGTGATGTTTACCATGGCAGAGCCACAATCTCTCATGGGATTGCTGGTCTGGGGTATAGGGTGAAGAATAGGAGCCATTCTCTCCTCCCCTCCATTCCTGGTACATAACTGATCAGGTGCCCACCAGTCACAAGGGACCTGCCCACAGAGTTCCTCCCAGAAGAGGCGGAAGCAAGTGGAGCCTGCTCCATGGCCAGAGAGAGAGAGCCTGGAAGTGGAGCCCAGCAAGAGGGTACAGAGCATGCAGAGAGAGAGAGAGAGCCCAACAGCTGGGGTTGGGAACAGAGCACTGCTGGGGTGGAGAAAGACTGAGCCATGAGAATAAAAAATACCTTTAATCCCCAACCTACCCTTTGCCTTGTCTTCCTTTGGTCTTATCAGATTCATAAGGAACTTGCCCCAGTTGGGGAACCCCCTTCCTCCCAGAGCCACAGTTGGGCTATTTAACATGCACATTTAAATTTTCTCTTATTTCCAGGGATTTTTCCTGGAATATGGTTTTAAATATTCTGTTCTTATTTTTGTTTATTCTTGTAGCCCCTTCAGTTATACATATGCTGGCATTTCTTTGCCAGTCTTCCATTTTACTCCATTTCATTTGATAACATTTCCATGAAAATGAGATATTAGACTGAGGAAAAAGAGAATGATTGTTCACTTGCACCTAAATTTGAAATCATCTTAATTATATTACCTACCTAGTTATGGAAGTTATATTTTTCATCTGTTGAGTTTGTCTTTGGAGCTGTGATCAAAGGTTGTCATTTGATGAGGAAATAAATGTCTGCAAAATTTAAATCTATTTAAATATAATATATCCACTGTCATCTCAAGAAATTAGGCAAGATTTGAAGCTGTTGATGAGCCGTGACTTGCTCTGTCATTCATTTTACTGTGATTGACTTAACTGTCACTTTAATAATGGGGAATTATTTTCCTACTCCAGAAAAGGTAATCCAGGATAGAAGGGAATCCCTCAAGGATAAGAAGAAGCAGCAGGGTAACACTCAGAAGAGGAAGTACCAGGATTTCCTGGATATTGTCCTTTCTTCCCAGGTAAATATTTCAAATTTCTGAGCCTTTGCATGTATCTGGTGAATTGTGTGTGTAGGTGGATAAGTTGGGAGGCAGGGAGACACAACAAAATAGATGGATGAAATTTAACAGTACTTTTGAATTGATATGTGGGTTCCATACAGTTTGAGGTAGAGAGAATTCCACAACTCTGTCACTAGAATAGTCAGATGAGACTAAATTTTTTACTGATTTGACAGTATTTGGTAATTTTCTTAAAGACACATGGTAGTTCAGGAAAACACAGGTAAATGGATCACAAAATAAGTGAGCAAAATGATGATCAGGGGGTGCTGGGAAAGTCAAATAAATCTGGCAGGATGATTGGAGGAACCCTTTGCAAGGCCTGTTTACCTCACATAACTTTGGTTCTCCTTTATGCTCTTGGCAAAGTGTGGGCTCATAGTATATACTTGTTGAACTGAATTAAAATTGAAATTCTCATTTGAAACTCTAATTTTTTCCCTAAAACCATTATTTTGATTGGGGCTCCAAACAGCTACAAACTGACATCACATATAAATATCTCTACTGTACTTTCTAGGCTGAAAATTCTAACAGCTTCTCTGATACTGACCTACAGTCCGAGATGAACACATTTGTGTTGTCAGGGCATGACACAATGGCAGGGGGCATTTCCTGGCTCCTCTACCACCTGGCTTTGCACCCTGAGCATCAGGAGAGATGCCGGGAGGAGATCAGAGGCATCCTAGGGGACACGTCTTCCATCACCTGGTGAGATCCACATCTGTAAACATTTCATTCTGTTCTCCTGGGGTTTTGTTTTATCTTTTTCTCTGGTACCTTGGTGACCACAGTTCAAGATACATGTATGTGGAAGCAAAAGAGGCAGGCTACTGTTCTGCTCTTTTTCTAGAGGGCCCAAAATGATCCCTTTGTCTTTTGCAGGACATCCATAAGTTACCTATTTCATTGTTTTTCTAATGAGTGGTGTGCGATATGTCCTGTTTCTTTCTTTCACTCAGGCTCTGGTGCACTGGGAATAGGACCTGGTCCCTAGACTTGCATTTAGAGCTTGAATGGGCTCAAGTAGTGCTCCTGTCCTGAGATCCCCGAGTGAGCATCTGTACCATTAAGCCTCATTGCAAACATTCTCTCCCGCCCTCTGTCTGCACCTCAGGATTGGCTCTGAACTCTGAACATAGCACTAAATGATACACACTGTAGTTGAGTTTAGCAAACATGGACTGAGGCCATTATAAGTACTGAGGCATTTAAAACACATGCTAATTTGGTATGGGTCCTGCCCTCAACAAGCTCACACCTCACTGTAAGGGACAGGCCGTACAGATATTTGCAGTATAGCATGATTAAGGGGGCACAAGAGGTATGTGCTGTTAGCACTGGGACTAGAAGACAGGCATGAGGACATCAGGGAGACTTCCTGGGAGATCTGACCCTTAGGCTGCTTATTACAGGAGGGTGAGAGTTAGCCAGGTGGGAAACCTCAACTCCATCTTGCTAGATTTTGAGCATATTTGCTGTTAATGAGGCCCAGGTTATGGATTTGTCCCTCCAACATGTTGTTGGCAAAGAGAACACATGTCCTTGATATAAACCATACTCTATTTGCTAGCTAGATATTTCACATATGTGTTTTGCTGGTCAAAGGGGCAATAGGAATGCTAAGAGCAACTCAGCCCATGACTAGGAGGAAAATGTGTATTTCAAATGTGAAGATCAGCTCAATTAGAACATTTGTAAAGGAAAATTTGAATTTATATAAGTATAGTAGAGGCCTCACTTTTTATAAGGAAATAATAGTCATTTCCTACTATAAATTAAATGTCTAATCTGTATAGCACAAAATGCAATGTTGATTGGTCATTTTTTATTCATTCATTGAATTTGGAAATATTGTATACCACCTTCCAACATTAATTAGATATTTTAACCTTGATTAGGGTAGATATAAATACAACTCAAATATTGGCCTTTCTCATTCTTGTTTGGCTTATGTGAATTGGGAAAAAAATAAAGAAATCTTTGCCAGATGAAAAACAAAGTCTAGTGGACCTGTTAACTACCACTTATCTTAATGAGAGAAATGGTAATAATATCATATAAATGAAATGTGTTTTTATTCTACAATTTGGCCTTACAGTCACAGTTGATGAAATTTGTACATAGCATTCTGAGAGTTTATAATTCCTTCAAAAAGATAATAAAACAACACTGCAAAGAGCAGTTTATGGAAAAGCTGGGAAGATGTTCAGTATCTCCATTTGACTCCTTGTCAGCCTTTTTCTACACTGGGTTCAAATTACTCTCTTATTTTTGCACCAGGACTGAGGTGGACAGCATGTTTTTCTTTAATGTGCAAAGTGCCAGGCAAAGCAGAATCATTCTTGTTATTCTGGGCTCAAGGAAGAAAGAGTTAAAAATTAAAATTTCACATTACCAAATGGCCAAAGCCTGTATTCAAAAGTAGTTATCAGGAAAGCAAACAAATACAGTAAGGCAAGAGACTGAGTAAATGCAGTCATTTTGTTGAACCAGTCTGACCAGCTAGGATGCAAATAAAAAGCTTTATTTTGCTCACACCGACACTTCACACTTGCTGTGTGGAGCAAGGTATTGTCATCTCCAGGGAAAAATCTTGAGTGAATCTCATAGAGTTCCATCCATTTAAATCACAAGAGCAGTCTCATTTCGGTAGCTGTCTAGCCCAGCATAATAATAAAAACTTCCGGTTCTCGTCCATGTTAGCATCTCTGTCCATCCCAGCCCAGTACTCTGGGTCTGGAGCTAGTGGTGGGCGAAGGGCTGGCTGGCTTTTTCTTACTGACCAGCTCCTCTCCCACGAGTAGCTGTTGTTTCTGACACTCCCAGAAATGGTCCCAGGAGGAAGAGAAGAAAAGGAGAAAGGGGCTGGTGCTGTGATTTTGTCCTCTGAGCTTGAAGGATATTCATGACTTCCTTTTACTCTCAGTGGGTGCATCTGTGGCTTTCTTAGAGATTCCCTCACTGGAGTTTTGCAGTGGTGATTGATGGGGTAGGGAGTTCTCATCCTTAACTTGAGCTCCTTTCAAGCTGGTTCCGAGTCCCCCTCTTGCTGGTTCCCTGGCCCATGGGATACCCTGGAGCCTTCTTGCCTCATCCCTGTTGCTCTCCCCTGCTTCTCTGCCTGTTCTGAGTCACAGCCTTTCCTGTGAGTCCTATGCTTCCCAAACTCCAGGGAGCACATGTCAGATCATGTAAGCTATGCTGTTGAAGCCCTGCTATGTGTAACCTGGTGGGGGAAGCATCCTCATCTCTTCTCCATGGCATTCCTACATTCTGACAATTCTCTTTAAAGGACTTTTTTTCTCTCAAAACTCTTAAGCTTCCTCTCTGCAGTCCCTAGCCATTCCTTATACATTTCAGTACATCATTTATATGATGAGCTAAGGGTTACAAAACTGGTTTTCAGAAATCTCCTTAGCAAATCCTTTACCAGTACTTTAGCACTTCACTTCATAATGAAGATATGCAGCACCTGTTTGATTTCTCTCCCTCTGGGACCACAGCTGATCCTAAGGTGGAGAGGGTCCCATTTTAACATTGTGTTGCATAGACCATTTGGCAAAATAGCTTTAACCTGAACATATTTACCAGGAACACATATCATATAGGAAAAAATATCAATATTTATAAACTGGATATGTTATCTGAGTTCCCTTCCCTCCCTCCCTTGCACTCACAGGGACCAGCTGGGCGAGATGGCACACACCACAATGTGCATCAAGGAGTCGCTCCGATTGGCCCCTCCAATCCCATCCATTTCCAGAGAACTCAGCAAGCCCATTACCTTCCCAGATGGACGCTCTTTGCCTGCAGGTCTTTGCATTCTTTTCCTACGCAATTCCTAGAGACCATGGGATCCTGGGGACCACAGTGACAAAGACCAGAGGTTTCTCAACTCTTGGAGACTCAAAAGACAATCCGAAGGACAATTGGCTTCAGGCTGGGGACTTATTAAGAGCTCAGTGGGTAATGTTTTGATCAGATGTGGGGTTTTTCCCAAGGGCATGTAGCCATTTGCAGTGAAGCTCACAACCTATGTCACCAGAATCCCAACCCAGGGTTTCTTCCATCACAGGACAGTGTTTCTAAGACAGGTTTGGCTGAGTTTGAGATCCAGGTGAGACTTGATGGGGAAGACCTGAAGGGGATCTTTGGCTTCCTCATCATGATACTATCACTCTTGTAAGTGTGCAGCACTTAATAGTTTACACAGAGTCTTCAAACACATTACTCATTGTTTTCCCTTGGACAATGATCTTAGCAGACACTTAACACTGTGCTTTGCAGTTTATGAAGCAATTTCAAATAAAACTTTTGGTGTAGCCAAAAACCCAGTGGGGGTCCCCAGTGTGCAAGTGAACAGAGCTAGAACTTACATGGAGGTCCCACACCCAGAGCTCAGTACTGCTCCGAACAACTGGGTTTCTGAGCAGGTTGTATGGGAAGCTGAGGGGCCATGTGAGACGTCTTTAATTTATCTGCTTCAATGTCCTGTTAATTTTTGCCTTTGTAAACAAGCCGACAGGATTGCTTGGAGCAAACACCAACAGTTGTCACTTACTGTGACTGTATTGACACATCCAGAATTGATTTACCAGAATTATTCCTGGTAACCATATAATACTCAAATTCTCACTTCTCTGTCTTTTTTTAAAATCCTCAAAACACATGGATATTAGCCAAAATTTCCACACCTTCTGCATATGAGCCATACCAACACAAACTTGTCATTGGATCTGCATGGTGGACTTCTTATGCGCCCAGACTATCTCCAGTGGGTGCTTTGTGGTCCACTAACAGATAAAGAAGTTACTTCCAGAGGGAGCAGAAAACATGAACACGGGTTATCATTTTGACATGATACCAGTAAGTCCTTAAGACAGAATCATGTGTTAAATAAGTCTTCCCTTTGAAAACTAAGGTGCTTCAGCTTCCCATGGGTCCTTCACTGCTGGTATCAGCTACAGCACGTGGACTTCTGCCAGGAGGTAGCTCTTTCCATTCAAGAAAAGTCTGACTGAGAAGCAGTATAACAGTAGCCCACGATTAGCTCTTTCTCCTGCAACCTCTTTTATTTCCTTCCTTTCTCAGGAATAACCGTGGCTCTCAGTATTTGGGGTCTCCACCACAGCCCTGCCATCTGGGAAAACCCAAAGGTATGACTGTCTTATGGTAAATACTTGAAAGAACTCACATTGTTCAGTTCACTTTTTGTTAGTTATTCATGAAAGTGGCAAATGACACAATGCAAACAAAAAAGAGGCATAAAAACCAAAAATGTAAAACTTTTCCCTAGAGGAAAACTGTCCTCTACCCCTATTTCTACTTTATTTTTGCTGCATAATGCCACACAATCTGCTGTAAATTGCCACATCTGTACTTCATCATTTACTTAATGAGCTATACCAAGCTCTTACTTAGATATTGAAAAGGGTGTAGACTGTCAATGTAGTCTGCAACTCCAACTCTCTTTTGCTGGATGTAACTATTAGGATTCTGTCAGGAAATCAGTGACATACTCAGGTTGGACAATTTGAGGAGTGTTTCATAAGGAACTATTCACAGAGATATGGAAAGGGTTTAGGAAAAGTCAAATAGACCAAATAGCTGCTGAAGTGCTTACCACTTCCAGGCCTGATGGGAGACGGAGAGAGGGCTGCAAACCTAGAGAGAGATGGCTTCTGAGAAAGGCCTTGAGACAGTTGTAGACCACACAGCCAACCGGAGGCGGCCTGGTGGGGTGGGGCCCAGGGAATAAGTAGCCTGAAAGCATTCTCTTCCCACCCTCCAGATCACCTATCAATGTCTTTTACTGGGTTTCAATGTCTTTTACTGGCCGAACTCAATAGGAAACCATGTGAGTCAGCTTCTTGAAGCTGAGGACAGGGTGGGAAAGGAAGGAGAGAGGAACTGGAGAGGCAAAAAGATGTATGGCTGCCCTGAGTTCCTTGATTCGATGTTCTTGAAACTCGAAACACTCACAACATGTACAGACACTTCCTTTAACAAAACTCCTAGGATTTAAGATCTGTTGTGTATGATGGAAGTTGGACTACACATCTCAGAAACAAGTGATCATAATCATTTTGGCTTGGCTTCTAAGAGGGTGAATTCTTACCTCCAAAGGGAAAATAATACCACTGGCTCTAGTATTTCTGCTTTCATCCTACTTAGTCTGGGTAGCATGCTGGTCAACT